TGAGGGCATTATCTTGCGACCCTCGGCAGGACGCGGGTGGGCAAAGGTCAGATGGTCTCGGTGGTTGCTTGTGGTCATCAAGTTTTCAGGTGGCTTTGTCAGCTTTGTTCCCAAATTACTTCAGATAAGAAGAGTGTGGAATCCCGCACGGATCATGTCTTGGAGATTGGAGCCAGATGCCTGAAGATAGTGATCCAGCCCGGAGAAGGGGACCTGAGCAAGAGCCCGTTTACGGAGCAGGCCTCCCCCAGCTACTCTGTCCCTTCCAGCTCTTCCCCACTTCTGCAGAGGTTCGAGGAGCAGCAGGCAGCCAAAGGCCACGGAGACATGGCAAAAGAAGTCATTACCAAAAAGGTACCTTGGGAAGAGCAGTAACAAGCAGTGTCACGGCCTGCCCTGCTTGTAGTTCCATGAGCTCTTTGTGTTGCTTTCTGTCACACATCAACGTTTCATGCCAAGCAAATGGCAGTTACATTCTCTTAGTCAATAAAATAGGAGCAGGGAGTGACTTTCGAGCACTGGACCACGGATCATCCACACATGTTAACAGGCAGCATGTTCTCCAGTGTGGCTTTGGCACATGCCAACCACTACTCCCCAGACCGATACCCCGGCAGGTTTTGGGGTTATTGTACACCAAGAGCTGCTCCCAAAAGGTAGAAGAATTGTAGATTTGATTCCCTTCCTGCTATGCAGACCTGTAGCACCATTTCAGCAAGTTTTGCTCCTCCACACAGCCCTACTTACATCCATCTCTTACCTCAGCACTTAAAAAAAATCTGCTCTGATGGGATGTACAGGAAACATCATTTCAGACATTTTGAACCAAAAGTTATGCAGAAAAGAAAAGATCAGCTGTGTGTTCGGAGCATGGGGCTGGGCAAGGCTACCTGTGCTTGTGGCTCTACCAAAGGTTTACCCTGTTTTGCGTGGTAGCCTAGATGTAGCTTTTGGGGTATATAGCATGTGCCAATGTAGTGGTAATCTGACATCTGTAGCAGTATAGTGCAGATTTCTCTGTGCTTCTATCTCTGCAAAGTAGAGATGTGAATATATTTGTTACTATTTTTCAGAATCCTGGTCTCTGCCTTAACCCTGAGTTACTAAAGCATGACTTTTGGGATTTTTTTTTAAATAGTCGAGAAAACTAGAAAGTCTAATATAATGAAAGAACAATGTAATATAACTTATTTGTGCTGTTAAAACATGTTGTGTCTCTATCACCCAGTGCTAAGGGGACAGACAGGTTTCTTGGGGGATTCTTGACAGAATGATGGTGGCATTAAGTTGTAGTTACAATTAAAGCTATTTTTTTAAAAAGGATTTTATGATTAGCATAGCATAGAATTAACAAATAGAAAAGCACAGGATTTCTACAAGCAGAATCAGTGTAGTACGATTTTATAAGTAGCGTAGCACTGAATTTTATAGCACAGCTTAGCTTACAGTTTCTAATCACCTGGACCCTCTGCAGATTGTGTCAAATCTTAATACTTGGCGTGCCATATTGATATAACAATCATATTTTAGGCTCAAAAAAAACCACATAAAAGAGTATGAGCCCTTCACTTAGTCCTCAGCAGAGGACGGTGAAGGTGTCTCTGGCCATTGGAGGATGATGGATCTTATTGTCCAGCATCAGCTGTAGCCCAAGTTCCCACTTAGGACTTGTTGCTGCTCAATTTTGTGGACAGTGCTCTGTGTGCTGTTCTGCTTTCCGGTTCTGTGAGGGGGTTATTGCCACCTGGTTGGCAGGGTGCCTGGGACCTTCAAGGCCAGTAAGGGGGAGAGCAGTTGGCCTGGTGCCCAGGAACCTTGAGGATGACAGGGAGAGGAAGAAGAAATCTGTTTGCTTTGTCTACTTGGTGCACAGGACCTTCAGGCCCTGATAATGAGGGGAAAAGGGACTAAGACGTGACCAGCTCAGTCACACGGAATGGCCATTTGCCTTATAAAATGATGTTAGTTATGCTAACCGTATTACCAGAGGTCAGGACCAGGTGTCTCAAACTAGGCAGCGAAGTTATTGTCTTTGTCTCTGCAGTGCTCAGGACATTAAGAAAATTCAGACACTTAAAAGCAGATTGCTTTACTTACATTTGTGCAATGTCAGTATACGTGACATACAGAAAACACTGTTGCAAGTATGCGTATGGTAATCTGGCCCTACTGAGAGGTACAGAGCTTTTCCTTACTCAAAGTACAGAAGCAGCAAGCAGAGGACCTTGGAAAGAACAAATACTGATATCTTCTTGTCTTCTCTCTAGATATTTCTTACAGTATCTGCGACTTTGAATACCAGTATGTTCACTGAACAGCAAAGGGCGAAAATTACCGTTTTATGTCCAAATTTAAAAAGAGAAGGAAATCTTGATATTGATGGCTCTGAGAAATTGACGGGGGATTTTACAGATATTGAAAAAGCCTATCACTACTTTAAGGATATCCTTGCAGGCAATGACCCAAACTATGATTTTTCACGTTCTGAAAGTAAAAATGGTTTGGAAGATGATAATGGTCTAAATACTGAAGAAATGAATGAGCTTACAGTTCCAACAGCTCTCTATGAATATTTCAGTCACACCTGCAAAGAACACGTCAAAGTACTACATGAAGAGTTCGGAGTGCATATAATAAGTAGAGATCATTACAACGGAACCACATCACTATGCTTCGCTCCTGATAAAAGCCCTGCAACAATGCAAAAAGCTAATGATTTTTTTATCAGAACTTTTCAGAAAACAGTAGAAGATTTGAAACAGGAAAAAATTCCCGTACCGAACAGTTACACATTAAGCAAGACAATAACAAAATTAAATGCTAGGTTTAGTAAACTTCTTGCCAAAGAGGAAGGGAATCAGCTGCTACTCCGTGGTCCAACGAGTGAGATTTTAGCTGCCAAAAATTTTCTAGCAGAGAACAGTGAAAACAGCAAAGCTGAAAAGAATATGAAAATATCATCTGAACTCTACAAATACAGGAATGGAATTGAAGTTGATGCTTCTGTGTTTAAATTGTTGGAAACAATATTAAGCAAAGAAATTGAAGACATTAAAGACAAATTTGATACAGTAATAGAAGACAGTTCCTATGGCCAGAAGGTGCTCATACTATTTAGACCCAGGACCAAGACTTCTGATATGTCTTCACATGCTACTGAAAGTTTCATTAATGCATTTCAGAATGCCTCTGCATTGTTAAGAGAAAAAGTCATCAGCTGGAAGCTTTCAGAAGATCAGAAAAAAAGATTAAAAATGCTAATTAGTGGGAAAAATTGGGAAGATATGCATGTAAAACTGAAGAAGAAAGAAGAGAAGTTCATCTTAAGTGGTTTACCAGACAATCTTGATGTTGCCGAAAAGCTCATTATGAACTTACTTAACATTGAAGACTCTACACAAACTAAAAACAAGACAGCACTGTCCTCTGATCATGACTATCAAGAAGCTACAGGAGCATCTGAGAAGAAATACTATGGCAGGAAGAAGAGTAGTCTTTCTTCTGAAGGACAGTCTAAGGCAAAGACAGAAGAAGAAGACGACAAAGATGTGTGTCCAATTTGCATGGACAAAATTAATGATAAGGAAATACTGAGAAAGTGCAATCATGCATTTTGCAAAAGTTGCATCGAACAGGCCATGACTTATAGGCAGATTTGTCCTGTTTGTAATACTGTCTATGGACTCATGAAAGGAGATCAACCAGAGGGCACAATGTCATTTAAAACGTTACCTTTTCATCTCCCTGGTTATCCCAATTGTGGTACTATTCGCATTACCTATGATATGCACGGTGGTATTCAAACTGTAAGTATATTTAAAGATTCATAAAAGATATTTTTCCCACAAAACCAATATTGAATATAAAATTAACTATTTTTCCATCGTTTTAATGCATGCCCAGGAGAGGCTTTTCTTTGTTCTGCACAAGTCTGCAAGTATTTAATTCAGTATTTTTGAGTGTCATAAAGTCATATAGTAGGAGTAAAATAGATGGTAGCCCTCCATTTTATATGCACCAGGACAGAGCTACTGTCTTTAATTTCTACATTGGGAATAACTGAACTGGAATATATGGAATGATGTCATATAAACAAGATTTTGTGAGTACAATTAGGATTCTCTGAGGCATTTTCTTAGCTCCCAACACCAGCGGATGAAAATGAATAGCAGACTGGCTTGTAAGCTTTCCAGGTGAGAAATCAGCTTGTTATGTGTTTAGAGTCATGCCTAGGACTGCAAATTGGATAAATGAAAAAGTCTGAGCTGGGGTGACATGCATTTGGGAGAGCAATGAGTTAAAAAAACATTTCAAATGGATGCCTGAGTGATGGCCAGAAAATGGGAATAAGACTTACATGAAAGAAATTATCTAATGACGAAAAAACTCCTCAAAATCAGTCATCTGTCATGCTATGTCTTTCTGAAACAAATACAAGATAAAAAGTATTGCAAAAGCTGGGATGTGTGATTTTCACACTGTCAAAGCATTTATGATATGCAATGTGTTTTTGTTTTGTTTTTCTACAAAACAGAGCAACCATCCAAACCCAGGAGAACGTTATGGTGCAACTACTCGAACAGCGTATTTACCTGACAATAAGGAAGGGCAAGAAGTTCTGGAGCTCCTCAAAAGAGCCTTTAACCAGAAATTGATTTTCACAGTGGGACATTCACGTACTAGTAATGCACAAGGTGTTATCACGTGGAATGATATTCATCACAAAACTGCCATTTCTGGAGGAGCTACCAAGTAAGTAGTCTTCTCTTTATGTAATTTTATTGCTACTCAGATGTGCCAGGAAGGTTACCCTGAATATTAGAGCTTTCAGATTTTGTCACTAGCAAAGTGATTGTGGATCCAAGCTTGAATCACCTTCACCAGTGGGAACAGTTGGAACAAGGGTGAGCTTAGTCTCCTGTTGCCCCTCAGAACACTCATTCACCAGTGTAAAGCTACTAACTGCTCTGATGAGAAACTACTTCTAGTACAGGACAGGACAGCAAGCTCTGGATAGCAGCTAAGGTTGGACTCCTGATCTCAGCCTCTTCTGTCACCTGCTATTTTGCACAAGGGGTGCTGGTCCATTATGATCCCAGTAAAGATGGCACTCAGACTCTGTAAAATATAATTTGAAATTCTACTTATTAGACCTAACAACAAGAGGAAAGAGATTGTAGTACAGATATGGATATATCCTGTTAGATGCTAGGAACGTGGAGTTGCACAGCTTTCACTGGGTCCCTGACCAGAGCACAGGACACACATAGGAAGGATTACCCCATTTTCGTTGTTGGAGCTATTACAGGATTTTCTTAGTAGAAGACAACTCTGTTTAGCATTTCTCAAGGGCTTGCTGCACTTTGAGATAAAGGCAAGGACATGCAGGTGGCATAATCGGCAGTACTGAGTGGGAGCTGCCGGCAGCACCTCTCTTGGGTGAGCTGGCCAAGCCTGTCATGCAGGCACGGGCTGTGCATGGCACAACAAAGGCCTGAAGGCCACACCACACGGGCAGCACAGCCTGTCCCAGTTAACTGTTATGTGGATCACTAATTCCTCAATGTATAGTCATCTTCCAGTCAGGATCACTACGTTCCATCCCTAAACATCAGTGCCTACATCCTCCTTCCTGGGCTAGGATTATAAAAGAGCAAAAAGTACCGGTTTTACTTTATCCCCAGCTCTGCCCAAGTGCTCTCCCTAGTTATCACTTGCTTCATACACGCTCTAGGTGATGCGCTACTTAAAATCCAGAGGTGCTATTATATTTGTGTGTTGAATGCTCACTTGGATATGCTCCAGGTCTGATTTTCAGAAAGATGCATACCCAAGCGCCCTATCCTTGTCAAGGGACACAGCAGGCAGCTTTGAAAGTCAAGGTCTTACTGTCGGTTTGGGCGATCAAATTCATCAGCTCCTTTTCCTAAGTTTTTAGCTTTAGCCTGTCTGTACTACCTCTCTGACTTGCAAAATAAAATTTCTCTGTTGAGTAGGAAGTAAGTACATAAAATTTGTAAAGTGCTTTAAGATATTTTGATGAGAAGGCTCTGTAGAACTGTCAAGTGCTTCATTGCAGAAGTAGCCCAAACAATTCTTTTCTTCTTCTAGTTATGGTTACCCTGATCCTGATTATCTGCAACGAGTTCGGTTGGAATTGAAAGCAAGAGGAATTGAATAAAGAAATGTATCACCCATCAAGTCTTAAGTGATTCAATTAATCACAATTTATAGTGATTAACCATTCAAGCACTAAGAAGAGGTTCCTTTGTTCAGTGGCTGTACGTATATCACTTGTATTTTGCAGTCAGATAAGAAAACTAAGCTTTTTTCATCAAATTATATATGTTCTTTTTACACATAATTTACATCCTTAAGTAATGCTTCCCTCTGTGAGTAACCTTTACAGAGTTTTCAGTCTCGTGAGTGCAGCATCAGTACTTGTTGCACTTGCTGAATATGAAATTGTGTATCTTATTTTACCAGTGAATCTGATCTGCACTTTTTCTCACAAGTCTCCAGTCTGACCGCCAAAACCGATAGATCTACTACGAGATCAAACACTTTAGCTTTGTGTTATTACAGCTGTCATCACAGATAGCATCATGCAACCCATCTGCTGGAATATTTTTATGCAGCTGTTCTGGTAGCACCCTTGATAGGGCTATCTTTTCCTTTTCAGGGTAGGATTGGCGTGGTTTGGGTTTTAAACATGAAATAAGTATGGATAGTGTATGAGGGGGTGCATGGATGCTGCTGTATTTTTAACCCTGCCAGAAGTGCTGAATGCTCAGAGCTGTGATGGAGCAAATGGAAAGTAACAGTGCTCGGGGCCATCTCTGGTAACAGGGTTCTGGTTCTGTGCCTGCTGTCGTGTTTCAGCTGAAATACAACTTTTAAATCAGCTTTGCAACTATAACACTATATTCTTCCCAGTGCTTCCAATACATGGTTTAAATTATATCATAAAGATACTCTGCACTGTCTGAATAGCCTGTTAAATTACCTTGCGGTGGTGTGAAGCAAATAGTCTTCACTTAATGCAGCTGTAATTGTTAGTGAGTTAAACTGTTTTTGTTAGGCTACTGAATATAATGAATAAAATATAAAAATACCTTCTGCTCAGTTCTCCATTCCTCTGTACAGTTTTTTCCTCCTGTTTTAAATACATATAGTTTTATTTTTTATTTTAATTTAGGAGCGTCCCAGCAATGCTGTGGTTTATGGTGATTTGGACCCCACGGCATCTCCTTTTTATTTATTTTTTTTTAAGATTCCCACATTGTGAACAGGCAGTACTACTGTACCACCTCAACTTGCAGATTGCTTAGTACTGAACACTGTTTGGTTTCCATGTGGGTTGGGATAACTTTCCTGCTGTGTTTTAGCGTATTTGTTTTCACATTTTACACTATTTCACGTTTTTTCCCTTTTCTATGCAGTAAGATACCAACATTCCAGCTATTTCTAAATGACTGTGCTTTTCTGCACACTGAAACAAGCTGTGAAGATCAAGAGGCTTCTTTCAGCCTCTCATTTCCCTTTCTGTCCCAATAAACCAGTTCATGGATCTCAGACCCTTATCTGATAATTCCCTGGCTCCCATTTTATCTGTGGCAAAGTTTGCCGGCTGAGTTCTGCAGCAGCATCCTGTCGACTGCCACTGAAAGCCCCCAAGCCTTTATCCTATAACCAGCTGTACAGACCTTTACTTTCTAATCACAGTTGTACAGTTTAGGAGTCAATTTACCCGATTTGCAATCGAAGTCAGGTGCTTTGCCTGGGTTACAGCAAGGGAGGAGAGCATGCACCTGGGCTATTGAGAGAACAGCGCATAGGAAACACCCCGGGTCCGCTCAGCAGCATGTCTGGCAACACCTACATTTACCTGACATCCACCCGGGCTTATCATGTTTAATGACATTTAGTTGTTATCCATTTCCATTTAAAACACAGCTGTACCCAGTGCCTGAGGCTTTTGTGGTTAGGCACTGGACTGTACAGACCTCACTGTCCCTGTGTTGTGCTTTAAAATCGAATCGTGACACAAGCTGTAAATGGAAATGGGTAACAACCAAATGTCATTAAATTAAGCACGGGTGTGTGTCACTGCTGCAGCACAACGCTCCCGCGTTGGCCTCCTAAGCAGCCCGGGCTGTGCAACCCCAGGTGCCTTTCGAGGGCGGGGAACCGGGCCCTCCGACCGGCCCGCTCTGTCGAGCCCGCAGCGGCCTCCCGCCCCCGGCTCTGGGCGGAGCCCGGGGCCGCTGCTCTCCCCGCTGAAGAAACAAAAGTGAAAGCGATCCGCTGAAGGAAAC